ATATATATATATATATATATATATATATATATGTGCTCTGTTCACTGCAGGTATTGAAACCTAATTTTTAGCATTTTAAACTCTCAGAATTACTACCAAGCCACCTAGTTGCATTTGCTTTTTTGGTTTTTTTATAGTTAAGAAGAATGAGATAATAATTAAATTATTTTAAAATATTTTCCACTACAAAACAGGAACTTTTAGTGACAGCAAACCCCTGCTTCACCTATGACATTCAACAATATATTATACTGAAAAATGTACAGATCTCATATATCAAACAAAAACGTGTGCGTCAATCGTTCTATGGTTCCTTATTAAAATTATTTTGATTGGCCATCTGCAGACATGTTCTATTTAAGAGAAAGTACATATAATACATTACACCTGGGTATCTTATAGCTGGCTGCAGTGAAAGGGCTAATTATTGTTGGATAATTCTAGTGTTTGCATTATTGATAATCTTTTTAAGGCATCATTCTGTGTTGGTATTCTTAAGTGTTGTGAAGTATGTGTTAGATCAGATTTAAGTGTCTTCTGTAAGATTAAGTAACTTTTTAGTGTCTATATATTAGATACTATAACTGTGACTCAGTCATGTGTTCTGGGATGTATATTTCCCAGTGCACTGGGAAATGCACATCCCAGCCACAGTGAATGGGTTAATATGAAATGCTACTATGTATAGATACATATGTCATTATTCTCACACAAAAACTAGAATCACTCAACAATATTTAATATGAAATGCTACTATGTACAGATACATATATCATTATTCTCACACAAAAAGTATCTGTACACAGTAGCATTTCACATTAAATATTGTTGAGTGATTCTAGTTTTTGTGTGAGAATAATGATATATGTATCTGTACATAGTAGCATTTCATATTAAATATTGTTGAGTGATTCTAGTTTTTGTGTGAGAATAATGATATATGTATCTGTACATAGTAGCATTTCATATTAAATATTGTTGAGTGATTCTAGTTTTTGTGTGAGAATAATGTATCTGTACACAGTAGCATTTCACATTAAATATTGTTGAGTGATTCTAGTTTTTGTGTGAGAATAATGATATATGTATCTGTACATAGTAGCATTTCATATTAAATATTGTTGAGTGATTCTAGTTTTTGTGTGAGAATAATGATATATGTATCTGTACATAGTAGCATTTCATATTAAATATTGTTGAGTGATTCTAGTTTTTGTGTGAGAATAATACATATCATTATTATTAAACTAGAGTTAGAAGATTACATGAAACTTCACGAGAGGTTTTACCCTGGTTATAAAATCTAAACCTCCCTATGCATGTTTTGTGGACACACAATAACAAACTCTGAAATCACTGTGAGTTCATTACCTAAATACTCAAAGTCATTTCAAATGCAAACAAATGCTACTTTTGTGTTGTGCAATATCATGATGAAAAATTTAACTGGCACAGTTACTGACAAAGTAGTTCAATGAAAAATTACTAGAAATAGGTTAGGTCAATAAATGTGTATATGGAGTGTGATTCTAGATTCTTGTAACTAATATTTAACAAATTTTGTAATTTAAAAACACATAATTTTCATCTTACAAAAATGTGTTTATTGCTACATCTGACTATACTCAGCATTATAATAAGTTTGCAAACAACAAGCATAATGAAGTGATTTATTTTTGGGGGAACATACATATTTTGACAGAAAATTCTTCAGGTATGAAGAAGACAAACCAATGTTCTGTCAAAATATGTATGTTCCCCCCAAAATAAATCACTTCATTATGCTTGTTGTTTGCCAACTTATTATTATACTAACATAATGTGTTTCCATATTCAAATATACTCAGCGTTAAAAATGAGACTCCTTACTTGTACATATATAATTGTAACCAAAATTATTATTACATATCAAGAATTATAGGATAATACAAGTAAAACTGGCATTGTCAAGATAATTAACTTATTAAATGTATAAATGTATGAACAGTATAAATTAATGTTTAGTTATTGAAAAACAACATTCAATTAAAGTTATAACTTTCAACACTTTTTTGATAATCAGCAAGTGACAAATTTATGTCAAGAGCCATGTCCAGTGCTTAGCAACTAAGGTTTTCTACTAACTTGTATATATTTACCAAGGTGGATGTAATGTACATAACCGTTCTCAGTATATGTAAATAACATTTTAGTCATTTCCTGTTATTGACAGAATATCTTTAAATGAGGTGCTACTTTGTTATATTTTTCTGCTTATACATTAGTGTATTTTTAAAACAGAATTAAGTCAAAAATATGGTTTTTCAACAAAAGTGCCAAGGTAATAACCATAATAAGCTGCCTTGCCCTCCCTTTTCTTAATTCAATAAAACATTATTCATATATACAAAGATATTTTAAAAAGTAAATAAAGATTGAATATAATAATATTAATAAATTTGCATAAAAGGATTCTAGTCTAATAATTAAAATCAACCATGTTCTATAATTTGGTAATAAATATGCATATCAATAAGCATGCTTGTACACACCCACATATAGGTTATTTATCTGAAGAACTGTGTCTTTTGTTAGCATGTGCAGCTAAAGGGTATATGAGCTTCAGTGTCTGTATCTCACAATACTAACCACAAGACTCTAAGAAAATTCGTCTACACCATACTGAGTGGGATTTACTAACAGAACAACCTGAAAAATAATGTTTACTACAATTATGTCATATCTCTGCATATTTGTTGGTTAAATGATTATGCCTCACAACATTAATTACTTCATGCATACTGAAGAAGTGCTGATGCAACTTGTTGTACATTACATCATTAATTTCTTACGTGAAAGTTAAGAGCTCCTAGTATTATGAATAGACATAAACTATTATATACATATATATTCTGTTCATTAGTCCACAATAAGGCCTAACCATATGTACTTGAATAACTTAGTAATTACAAATACTAATAACTTGTAAGCATTAAAAGAAGAAAAAAACTGACACCAAAAAATATTTACTTACCACTTGCAAACACTGTTTCATACACAAGTATAGCTGAAAGAAAACAACAACAAAGATAAATGACTTAAACCATATAAAAACAAACAGCCATTTTTTTTTATACATATACATATATTCAATAGCTGATACCAATAAATTTAATAATCAGGCAACAGCATTTCGTTATCTGTTACACTACAGATGTTGGGTAACTTAGGTCAAGAACATTAATTAAAATCGAACGTACAATATATGCAACTGTCATAAATCTTAGCATATTGTTAACAGATATTCTACAGTGTACTGTCAATTATAGCAATCACTGTTTCATACACAACAGGAACTTTCATTGTACAGTGAAACCCCGATTTTACGAGAATTTGGATATAACACGATGGGTCATTAACTCTTTCAACACGGGCTTGGTCCCTGGGACCGACCTCATAACCATAACCTCGTTACAGTTTACATACTAATAACTTTTAATATTTTAAGTGTATCTTTACAATACCCCGATTTAGCACGATCCTGCTTGTTTCGCGATGACATTTTATGGACCTTAATGATCGGGTTATAACGGGGCTACACTGTAATTCTTATGTGTCTGCTTACCACACATAACCACCATGTTTGACAGCATAGAAATTACAAGTATAAAAATCAAATCTTAATAAAATAGGAGTATTTTCCTATGGATAAAAAAAACATGATGTGTAGCTAGTTCAAAAATGAGTAATTTTAGTCAGCATATTTCTAAAACAAAACATTATATTACTCGTCTGCCACTCAAATTGCATTTATATACAAGTCACTGATGGCTTTTCAAACATATTCTTAAAATAAATACATGAAAATAATCATGAAGCCTTGCAAATCAACCTTGATAAGTAAGAAAATGTTCAGTTTTATGGTCAAAGTATCATTTGTAAACTAACTAAACTTTAAAAAATTGCAAGAGATACATAGTTTTAAATTTTTTTATTACCTCTCTTAATTCCCTTATGAGGCTGTATTTTCTGGTGTCAGATGGGTGTGTCATTTAGCTGTAACTTTAGCATTACAAACTGTAATAAGTTCAAACCAAGGAATTCTTCAATCGACTATGTACAATTTCAGGTTCATTTATATCACCTTAAGGGCTAATTCTCAGGAATGTGCATAGAATTCTTTAAAGGGTTCATGAATTTCTTCTGTTCAGCTGAGTTTTTTGTGTAGGTCCTGAAGTACCACTATTATTAAACCAAAATAATAATAAAAAAGTTAATAAATAACCTTAAAGCTTTTTAACTGTTCTGGATTTCTAACCACTGGCTCCTTTAAAACTTTGTTAAGTATAGGATACAAAATAGTACTTACCCTATTATGCAGGCTTTTCATACAATTTATAACAATAGAAGGAAAAATATTATCAAGAGAAGACCAAGAACACTGCACGAACATCTGACGACGATTAACACACAACAGAATCTGTACAAACCAAATAGTAGTGGTCTATAAGTAAAAAGTTCTTCAGAGGGCTCAAAAACATTTACCCAAGAAGCCTGATGTAGCATAAGTTATGATGGAAAAACTGACATATACATGTATGAGACTGTCATAACATAAAAAAATCAATAAGTCACAACCCATAACAACCCAAATCTTCAATTATATAATGATCTTGAAGAAAAGTGAATCACTTCAAAACTTCAGAATCATATCATTGATGTTAATTTCTTTAAGAGAATCTTAACAGGAAAGGTCATAGGTCAGATTTGGAATTCTTGGAGTATAACAAGCTCAGAGATTGGAGGCAAATGGTCAAGTTCTTAGAACAAGTACCTCTGACAATTGACCTAAGAAATGAATTATTGAAATGAATGATCATCATTTATTCCAGACAAAGGTCTAATAGATTAAAACAAGCCTGATGAATAACTCATAACTCCAGGAAATGACTTCATGTAATCATGATCCCAAAGTAAAAGGTAGTTCTGAAATAGAAGATGAAGATTCACCAAATCCTGAAGGAAAGGATGAACAGTACTGTTATTTTTTGTAAAGGAATTTTAATACATCTGACATTGGTCCACAAAAATACATGCAGAAGGATTTGGTTTGTTTGGAAATTCACACAAAGCTACACAAGGGCTGTCTGTGCTAGCTGTCCTTACTTTAGCAGTGAAAGAGTAGAGGGAAGGCAGCTAGTCATCACCCCCCACCGCCAACTCTTAGGCTACTCTTTTAGTAAGGAATAGTGGGATTGACCATCACATTATAATGTCTCCCCGGCTGAAAGGGCGAGCATGTTTGGTGGGACGAGGATTCGAACCTGCAACCCGCTGATTGTGAGTCAAACGCCCTAACCACCTGGCCATTCATGCAGAAGAAACACACAAGTTCATCTCATAGGAAAATGTAATAAAACATCCTCAGTAGACACAGAACCAAGTTATTGTGAGAAAAAGACACGATAAGTCTAAGCTTTACAAAAAGAACAAGCCTCTGGTATCTAAAAAAAGATCAAAAATATTATTATACAAAATTCACCTAAAAATCAAGATTCACATAAGACAGAAATGGGACATGAGACTTCTAAAATCCAATAAAACTATAGATCTTGAATAACAGTTATTTCTACAAGGTCAAAACAAGATACTGAATTGAAATTAATAAATCTATCATAAGGCACAAAGCCACCTATTCATTTAGAGACTAGAAAGAGATAGGAATTAATCTTTAATAATCAGTCCAAACTATTTCACAAACATTCTTGGCTAGAATATCAACAATCGTTTGGTCTAGAAGATGTTTGTGGGCAATATTTTGAAACAGAATGGATAAATTACCAACAAAGGAACATAACTTGAAAAACCTAATGGCTCTTTGTTGTACAAAAAAAGCTCCAGATGCTCAAACAAATGTTCCAAAATAGAGTAATAGGCACAAAATATCTGGTTAAAAGCCATATGGCAGGTGAAGTCCACCAAAAATCCTGGTTCTGTAAAGATATATTCTTAATTTCAAGCAAAATTAGAAGTGTTGGCAAAATAAAACACTAAAAAAAAGCAATATAGAACTCTTTGAAGTTAAACCCACAGATACTGTTATTAAGTTAAGCACTCCAAGTCAAAATTCAGGCAAGACCCAAGCAAAGGACCATTGCAGACTATGGTCTATCAATTGTGAGGAACACCCTTGTCAATTGTATTTCCAAACCCTTTGGGATGAAAAAAGGCTTGGTAAGCAATGAAGTATGTTAAATGGATCTTAGCAAATATCATAAATATCCCACCCCCAAAAAAGGTTGATTTTAATAAGACTAGAAACTGAAAGAATTATCTAGCTGAGTTAGACAAAAGAACACTCTCAGTAGTTTCAACAGAGATAACACATAGGAAGAAGTTAGCAAAAAACCTCCACATTGACATACAAATTTAAAAAGAAAGAAAACTAAAGTTTACACATAGTGGTGATTACAAAAAGTATTTTAGAAGAATAATTCAAATACTTGAAGTTTGATATAAACATGTTGTTTTCTTGTATAACTTTCTAAGAGATAGCATATTGACTGTACATTTCATCATAAAGAAATCTGAAGCTACATAAGTTACCCCTCTTCATTGAAAGATGTTTGTCATGTAAACACCTCTCTTTCAAGGGCAAATCCAGAATTATTTGAATTCACTATGACTTGCAATTTTGTCAGTTTTGTTTTAATTATCAATCATTCCCAAAAACATTCTTAATGATTGCTTCTTTTTAATGGGTGCTTAGAAAAATCTTATTTTTTAATAAGGAGTATTTTCAACTTACTTTTCCCAACTTAAAACATTTCTGTGAAGTTCCTCAGCTTTTTATTTTTGTGATGGGACTATTTAATAGTCTAAAAATTAGCACTGATATGACACCAACTTTGGTTTTTAAACTGGTCTTAGAGTTACTATTTAATACATACACAACAAAAAAGCTACCAAATCTCTAATAATTTTAAACACCTGACTCAAGTCATTACAGTTTCTTTCTTACAACTTCAAATAAAATGAGTCAAAAATACATTGTCTCTGTTCAAAGCTTAAGTTACTTTAATCAGGTATTATTCTAATAGCCTATCTCTGCATTCCTTTTAACATGTAATTATCTTTCCTGGAACCACCATATCATTCCAAAAGCCTCACCAGTCTTATAAAGGATTATAATACCCTTTTTGATTTTGAATTAAAACTTCCTGAAAACAAAATCAAGAATTCTCTTTTCCTCACAGCTAATTTCAGCTGAAAGACTTAAATAATCATGTACTAACATTTGTGTTGTATTTGTCATGAATCATATTTATAACTTGGCAAAAATAAAGTATAAATACATATCCTGTCTAAATCATTTACCAAGTCAAAAGGATAACACACAAAAAATATCACTTAATCCCTTTTCAGCATATCCCGAGTTGTAATCCTAGCAGAAAAAAGATATAACATTATTTGCTGAAACATAAAATGTTACCTATGAAAAAGCAGCAGAATGAAATATATACTATCACCAGCATTTCTTTTTTAAGATAAAAACCTTTGTCAATTAAATATTTACTAAACACTGTTCCATGTAAGAAATGACTTTATAAATAAACTAAATAGATTTTATATTTGAAGATAAAATAAGATGGAGTTTTTTTTTCCCCTGCAAACCAGTATAAGTGATTGTGAAGACTGCAGAAGAAATAAATACTGTCTGAATTTAAGCTCATTCCTGATTGGGTAATAAACTTCTTTTTGAACAATGATCATTCTCATCATTATAATTTGTTTACATTTTGGATAAATCTAATCTACGAATTGGTATAAAGAGGGCACAATCAAAAAAAAACAAAATACTGAAGCTCCCTCTTATATGATACATCATTTTCTCAAGTTTTGATCCACGTATAACTTTTCTGTTGTTCCTTTTAGGTAGCTGGACACAATTTCACAAAATGAAATCCATTTAGAGTTACACATGTGAAGAAGCTAAGGGTAGTTTGAAAAAAAAACCTAGAAGTTATTATCACAATACCAATATATAAAAGACATGTTCCAGCATGTTTTCAAGTTATTTCTGAATGAATTAATATCTGAATTAATCTGTTAATCGCTTTTACTGCTATATTACTTTATTAGCAAATTCAGCAACATTTATTTGCATTTTAGAACTTATACAATTAGTAAATTTTGCAACTAGGCATACACATAAAATTACTCTGTTAGTACTTGTATGTTGTGGTTTTTAACACATTTTTCACTTTATCACTTATAAGTTGTAGTATTACATTAGTGCCTTTCTGGCAGTGTAGTGCTGTTCAACAATGAACTTTTTATTACAGCTGACATTTACTTAATATCTTTAAAAAAAATTCTGCTATTATTATTATTATTAATTTAATTAACCTTGTATAACGTTGGTACTATATATTGTTAAACTGAGTACATTCCAGAGAATAGTACCTAACGTTTCACGTGCGAATTAATATTAACTTCCGATTAGAGCAAGCTACCTACTTAGTTCAAAACTAAAAATTAGCTAGGGTGTAGTTAATTAAAATGTTAAGCTTTTTTAGTGACATCACCAATGACTGTAATTCAAATAATAGTAATACTACTACTAGTAAATATTACTACTACTGAGTACTAGTACTAGTGGCTATACGAAAATCTACTTGCCGATACACACCAGCCAGGATTCCGACCTGTAAACTTGCTTCCATTAAATAAGTTATGAAATTACTAAAGTATAACTTAGCATTTATTATAATCTATATATTTCTAGTTTTAGTACAGCCTACTTCAGTACTTGGTAAACACGAACAGCAGCAAGCAGACAGTCCCGATACGGTTCTATGTCACACCACGTCACCATAGTAAGACTAAGCCTAATAAGATTAGTAGTAATGTCAGAAATATATAAGGCACATATTAATTTATAAAACATTGCTTACCGAATAAACCAAGACAAAATAGCATCTCGAGCAAACTCTCGACTCCTCAAGAGATTTGTTGTTTTGCTCGAGAACGCGAAAAGCCTTGGTTCACTCATGAACGCGATAAAATTTTTCATCTACTCAAACATCCTCTCACATCCACAGATCGTCCATCGCCGTCGTTCCCACTTGCGCAGACATTGTGCGCAGACATACACAGTCATTTCAGCCGTCTGGTTTGTGTCTGGATTTGACTAAGCTTAGACTGTACTACAACTAAAACAAACACCAGAATCCTGTGCGTCTAATTATCTGTTACTATCTTGCTCACGTATAGCAGACGAAGCAACCAAAGACAGTTAAACATGACGAACCCACATACTGAATCATTATTAATTTGTTTGTCTTGAAAAAAAAAAAAACATTGCGAGAAATTCCAAAAACATTGGTTAATAAAGTGAATGTTTTTCTGTGATGTAAATTCGAGATTACATAGTTAATAATTAATATTAACAGTGTGAACAAGAACTTTGCATTACTGCTTAAGGTAAAAAAAACAACAACAAAAAGTTTACTTTAGTAAAATAATAATAACATCCCATCAGAATAAGCTATGGAGTTTAACCTGATGTAAACACTGTTATGCGCAATAAAACAACAGTTTTTTTTTTTTTTGGTGTTGTGTTAACGGTAGATAATAAAATAATAGCAGTACTGTTATGAAGGTATAATATTTTATAATATATCTAGCACAAATACAAGGCTTTTAGAAATCACTAAACTTCTGAAACAAGGCCAAAATAGTCCGAAATATATGGTAGGAATATTGTGAATTGAAATATCTAACGATAGACAACACCTTCCCCTGCCACCTGCGTATTCCACCACCAATGACAAATGATCATTGAACTAAATACTTTACTGTATCTGACTAATAAATAATTTGTATGCGGTTGTTACAAAGAGCGAAGTTGAATGTGAGTATTTTTTTGCCATAAAAATGGTCAAATTGAGCACTGGTCAACGATAATTCTGTTTAAACTTTAATATCAGTTGTTAAAACTCGGTGTTTTGATACATAATTAATGCCAAGACGAGCTGTCGTATAAAATAAAATGTAAGTTTCTTCAAAACCTGTAAAAATAGATTATAATAATCACTGTATTTCTTTGGAACAAAGATTTACAAGTGCGGACAATACTGTTCACGTGAACAACAACGTAGTAGAAATATAAAACAAAAAGACGTCTCTTCAACAAAAAATTTTTAGTTTCATAAAATTCTGAAACACTTGAAGTAATAAAAAGCACCTTTGTATCACTGAACTCTATAGATCAGTGTTTCGTATTTTAAACATACGTATCTTATGTACGTGTCCTGAAAAAAACACAAAAAACGGTACCAGTAATAATGACACCAGTAACGCAAAGTGGGGAAAAATGCATCGTTTCCTCCCCAATGGAAGAAAATAAGAAACAATTGTACGTTTACGATTTTTGCATAAGCCTAATAACATGTTTTTCCCACCTTGCGTTTCTACACAATTGTTATCAGTCGTTAATTCGGGCCACTAGCATACATATTAGTTACACTAGCAATAACGTAATGTGAGAAAAACGTATTACATATGTGTTTGCCTAACCTCCTTATTTCAGATGGTCGATTAAGGATGTTTATCTGTTTTTCAAATCTATCTACCTAAAAATGCTGGGTTAATCTGATGAAACCAGGCTCACTGTGTCGTTGGAAAATCGAAAATCACTACTGTCTAGACGGCAAGCAGAACGCTTCTCCTGTTTTTGTTGTTGTGATCTCTCGTTTTTGTTTGTTTGTTTTTTGGTTGTTGTTATTTTTTCGGCGAAAATACAGTAACTTGCAAAATACAATTAGTTTGGAACAGTAAATACTGTAGCCTCAGATATCACACTCTTAATATGCTTTCAGACGAGTCAATAACTTTAGTTTTATTTAAATAAATTTAGAACATAATTTCCTAAAATGAAACATATTTGAGTGCATTATATGGCTGTTCTATGTTATGTTGGGTTATATAGAATGAGTGTTATGTTCCAGTTCGCCATTACCATATTAGGACGTGTTGAACGCTTTCCTATAGATGTTGACATTTTTTTAATAATCTTTCAAAATGAATATGCCCTAATTTGTATTATAAGGTTACCTAAATATACTAGGCATCTGTGTTTCCGTTTCAAAACAGTATTCCAACACTGGCTAGTTTTTAGCACTCACTTAATCAAGTAGTTTTAAATTAAGACACAAGTTGTGTGGTATAGCCTATGTATGTATGTTCGTCTATAAATAAATTTCAAAACTTTGTTTAAATTTTACGTAAGCATTAACCCTGACTCATACTATATTATCAAGCTTCCTGTTCTGACAGGAATGAACATAATAGTCATGTTTATGAAGTAAACATCCCAATCTGGAAAGCCAAGACAAGATGGCGTTGTTTATTATTTTGCGCGTTGTACTTTTCAACGGATTGAATTGCGTTTGTTCATGCAAAAATAAATCGTTTCAAAATAATGAAATCCAACTTAGTAGACAACTCTTTTTGAACTTGTATTACAGCAAAAATTTAAGCGTAAATTTAAAACAAATGATAAAAATATACCAACATAAACAACCCTCGCGTCACTTTCATTTTCAGACACTTCGTTCAAACCTCGTCGCATCTCAGATTTCCAGCTTTTTTCCCCCCCGCATACCAAAAATTTATGGAATGCTATTACTTATATCAAAACAGCAAGTGTAGCTTTCAGGGATCAAATTTCTGTGCCAACAGACTTGATTTTGCGATTTGAGGGTGTGGCATAAACCGTACATTTATATATTAGATTTTTTCCACCCACCGGGATTATATTATACTAAACAAATTAAAAGTTAAATCTATTTCATACGTAATATTGAATAACAATAATGAGCGTCGCAGTACAATCTTGACAAAACATATTGTTGTACTCCACTCCAAAATAAATAAATTAAAAATATATATACACAAATAAAATATAAAATATCACAACACTAAAAAAAAATAAAAAATCTTATATAAATGACAAAATTTAACTAGAAAAATATTCACATCAATGAAATCAGGCACAAGACATACATATACCCAAACCCTCATGGTTTCCAACCAGTTATGTTTGTATCTGTGTGTGTTTTAGAGCTAATCCATAATAG